TTTTTTTTTTTTTTTTTTTTTTTCCTCTTCTCTCTTGTTTTCGTTCTGTCTTTCTCTCTTACTTTCTTTCTTTCTTTTCTTCTCTTCTTGCTTACATAGTGGGCGTACGGAAGGAACTGACGACGAAATTTCCTGCCTGATGTGTACTAATCGCGTTGGCGATGACCTCTGTTACGAGTCCTTCTGAGCTGTAAGCACTTCGACTGCCATGCCATTAAAAGATTACTGATGAGTAAAATAAGCTATTTCTTTCCAGGTTTAATTTAGAACCGCATACCAACCCGCGGGATTCCCGTATTACATCCTGTTGTGAGCTCCAGGCTCCCTCGTGCTCTCCTCAAACCGCGTCGTTCCTCATTTTCGCGGTCACACGGAATATTTTTTGCTTAATTTTCTTTCTTTATTTTTGGTTTTCCATTGAGCAAAATTAATCGAGCTCCACGGCTTGAGTGCTATGTAGCTATGGTGGTGAAAAAGTGCCCAGATTGTGACCAAACGGTATGTAAATTGTTGAGTTTTTCTTTCGATTTTAAACGAATGTTTGTATAAATTTGTATTTCGCGTGATTGAGTATATTTTTTGATAGCAACCRAATTAGGCCTTACATTTTATTCATTTATGCCCAAATAATCACAAATAAAACACCCCTTGCTTTCGTAATATTTTAAATGCGACATCGATGAACAAAACTCTGAAATTTTTGGGTAAAAAATGTCGATACGATTTGTTATAAATTAAGTTTAGATTATTCAAATGCACACTAGATTTAGCTTATATAAGCTTTTATAATATCAACGGAAATTTCTAAAAAAAAAAAGATTAAAAACAGGATCCTCTGAATATTCATGGCAATATAGAAATTTTGTTATCTTGATTTTTATATTTTTTGTGGGGTTCTACTTTAACTTGTAGGAGTTATTTTAAGTCTTAAGTTTGGCATTATTTGTTGATGTAGAATATTTAATTTTAACTATTTCTCAAGGTATATTTTCATGTACCAGTCGGAATTAATATTTATAAAATATGCTAAGAAAATTTATTATTATTTTTATCACTTACTACAAAATATTATTTATCTATTCCAATTATAAAATTTATTTGCTTTTGTTATAAATTTATTTTTTCTCCATGGGGAATCAATTTATAATTTTCAATTTTTACTTTCTTTTTTATAATTAATGACATGGGTAATTAAATTGAATTGATTTGAATTTGCTTATGTGTCATTTTCTCTCTATGCTTAAAAGTGTTAAATAAACTCTCAAATGTTATTGATACTGGGCTATTGCTCTATATCAGAGCATGGCTAACTCACAGACAGAACCTTGAAACAACCTCTTGCCATCCATGTCAGTGCATGGCTAACTCACAGATTGAACCCTAAAACAACCTCTGGGGTTGTTTCTGGCTCAACATTACTGGTCAAAATAACCACCAATCGGAAAGCTTAAAATAAAAGCTGGAAATGAATATTGGGCAATGTTGGAACTTTTCTGGTCAAATAATTCTCTTGCTGGTTATTTTGACCAGTAACATTGAGGCAGAAACAAGATATGACTGAGCTAAACCTAATTTGGCCAGTCAATATTACCATCAACTTACCAGCAGTTGTTTTATGTTCTGAGCTGGGTAATTTATATTAAACTGTTATTTTATGATATATAATATATAACCAATTAATGCAAAGCTGTCACCATGTGGCTTTTCCATGAGTTTTTCACTAGAGAATTATTTATTGTTATTTATTATTTAACTTAGATAGAATGCATGCTCCGATTGGTTGAGAAGTATGCTGTATTAGTGAACAATGCACAACTACTGATGCCAATTTCATATGCATGGCCAACTTTGCAAAGGAATGAAATAAAACAGCATTGAAACTACAACATATTTTTTCTTTCTATATGATAATATTTGAAACAAAAAATATTTTTTCTTTCTATATAATATTAATTGAAACAAATAAAACATATTTTTCAGTGCTTGGTTCAGTAATAAAGCCCACGAGAAAGCACTGTCTTGCATGCTTATAAACATCACTTTCAGCATGATGTATGTATTATTGCGATGTACATACTTGCATTTGATTATGTTACACATGCTAATTATGTTGATGTTAGAAATAATAAAATTATTTTATATTATTATCATTACTGAATAGATCACAAAAAAAAGCTTAACATTATATTTTTAAACACAATGATATTCACGATAGTTAGATTTATTTATTCATATCATGGCAATCATTTTTTCTAGTTGCCAGTGGCCTGCAAGTCTTGTCATTGTGGACACGTATTCATCAGCAGAAAACAGATCATGTCTGCTCAAGATAAGTCTGATAATGGTTAGTATATATTCATATGACAAGACATTTGGTCTGAAAAAATGGAGCCATCTGAGTACTGTCTTTGAGTAATTGTGTACTTTATGACCAACCAAGGTGATGGTCTCTAATTGCCTTACTGTGGACCAATGCACAGTCAACTAAACAACGCTACACCAGCACACAGCTGATGCAGGACCAGCAGTCAGACATTTTTTATTACCCTGGGATTGTGTCAAGTGYGCCATATAGAAATGCAATGTTATGCCGCCCGTTAGAAATGCAACTTTTTCAATTTCCAACAAATTGTGAAATGTCTGCCAGAGTTTTGAAAGTTTTAAAATAATAGGAGAAGATCATAAACAAGCCAGAGAATCATGGCAGGGTTTTCATTAAGTTTTGAAACAATAGGATCAGATCATGGTCATTTTAGCTGGAGCATTTTGCTCAGTTATCGGAGCATTCTCAAGTGTCTAGGCTGTACGTTGTCATTGTTGCTAATATTGCAGTTGTTGCTGCTGTTGTAATATTGCTTCCGTATTGCATGACGACCGCAAGGACATCTGTGGACAGCTGTTATCGGTTGTTTCTGTTATTGTAATGTTTTTTCCTTATTCATGATCAGGTGATGGAAGTCAGCGAGATCAGCGGCTGCGACCAGAAGTCCCAAAAAGAGAAATAAAAGATTTTGATTACGATTTTGGAAGTAAAACAAATCCACTGTCGCTTGAAGCAGGACCAAGTCAGGAAAAACCCAACCCCACAAAAGTCTTGATACTAGAAAACCACTCATACAGTACTGTAGGGAACACTGTCGATGGAGCTGCAAGAAGTTATATCACCATACCACAGCCCATGTCAAATGAGGTAAGTAATATATATAGTATGAGTGGCCGTGTTGTATCAGATATACAAACTCGACGCGTAGGCCGAGAGTTTGTATATTGGATACAACACGGACACGAATACTGTATATTACTTATCAAACGTCTAGGTTTTCAAAATTAGCTTTCAAAATTAAAGTGAATCTGGCCAAGAAAATCCAACTTAAAATTTATGCAAATGAACACAATTTTGTATCACATTTACAACACTCTTCACGGTCGTGATTTCTGTTGTGTTTTTCTTATGAATTATTCATGAGTTTGACAATGAAATATACATATTTTAAGATGATTACTACTTATGTCAAAACCATTGGGCCATAATTTTATGCATTAATTTCTGCACGAAATAAGTTTACAAGTATCACAGCATATTTGTATTTGCTCCAGGCTAATTCTACTGTGATATTCCGAGTGTAGTTAAACTTTCTGACTGCAAATACAGGATTTTTGAAGTGCAAATATAYGATATGACATTATATTCTAGAGTTTAGATTGAGTGCCAACTTCACACAATCATTATATCAAAGCCATTTTTAAACGTTTTTGTATCTCCTTGTCATTTGTTGTGCAGTAGCTGAATGTTTTATACTTGTGCGTTTGGTGTGACTGAACTTACCGGAAAACTTGAAAGAATATCCAGAAAATTACAAACCATATCTTTGGACTCTTGCTCTGTCTTATCTTCTCCGTCTTAAAAAAATTGCTCAAATCTTAATCTGGGAAAATGCAAAAAATTCCCTTAAATAGCTTTTATATATGACTGATTTCAAGCGTAAACGAGGTCGTCCTAAAGGCTCCAAGAACAAGCCTAAACCTGTGGTGCAACCTGGAGAAGAAGGACCCGAAAATGAACAGTCTCTTTTAAATGGCTCTCAGGTTAGTGCTTAAATTTATTCATAATAATGTTTGAAAATATTTATTGAAGTAGTATAATTATTATCATTATAACTGATGTTGTTGTAAGCATAATAAAATGTTAGAGACCTTATGCATTAGGACAGCAGGAACAGGACAGCAACGCTAGGATGATGACACAAGCACATTTTCAAAATGGTTTTCTTGCATACTGAAAAAGAATGAAAAAGCACCAATAGAGCACCAAACATGTGACCTGATTTCTGAAATTGGATTGGCTTAGACGTTCATTAATTATTCATAAATTTAGCAAATATATATATATCACCATCCTTATTATCATCATCATCATCATAACGATCATCATCACCATATTAATGTATCACCATCACTATTTTCATCACCATCATAATTAACCATAATTATCATCACCACTATCATATATCATTATCACTATTATATATCCTCATCATCAGATGTCAACATTATCATCATGATCATCATAATCAATATTATCATGATCTTATAATATGATTAACGAGTATTAACTATAAGTAATATATACAGTATGAGTGGCCGTGTTGTATATCTTATACGAATAACTGTAGATTACTTATCAAACGTCTAGGTTAGTTCCTTTGTGTTTCACTAAAATTTTCAAGATAAAAGTGAATTTGGTCAAGAAAATCCATCTTAAAGTTTATGCAAATGAACATGTTTCTATATCAGATTTACGAGACTCTTCACGGTCGTGATTTCTGTTGTGTTTTCCTCATGAATTATTAATGAGTTTGACAATATAGCATATTTAAAAAAATCACATTTGTTTTAATAATTTAAATGTTTTATTCCCTTTTATTTAATTACAATCAGAATACTGATGGAGACACGTCCAAGAGGAAGAGAGGACGTCCTAAAGGATCTAAAAACAAACCCAAGGACCCGTTACTGTTAAAATCAGCCAAAGGAAGCCAAGGTACAGATGGGTGGAGCTCTGATCAACCTGATGACTCTTACCCTGAACCACCACTARATGCAATGCCGCACATATCGAAAGAAAAGGCAATATCATACTCTATTGTGTTATCAGATATTAACCAAAAGATGATGAAGCAGTCATCAATGAACTTTGTTTAGAATGAGTTACTAGTTCCTAATAGTATCCACGCCTACTCTAATTGCAAGAAGAGCTTTCATCTCATTACCAGCCTGTAATGTTAAGCCCGTTTACACTGGCGATTTTTGCTGCGATTTTTGTGGCAATTTTCGGAAATATGAAATCTTTTGTCTCATCCTTCAAAAGAGACACTCGTCTAGGAAAATCTTGGTATCCTGAAAAAAACTTTACAAGTAAATTCTTTACCATTATTTATTATGGACAAAATGGGGGCTTCAGGTACACACTTCCCCCATGTTCTTTCAACCAGAGAGAATTCTATTACTTGGTATCAATCAGCTGAATGGCTTATTAAAAGCCTACAGTTACAAGCAAATGAATCTCTGCAGTGACATTGCATCTCTTCCTATCATAATTTTATATCATCAGTTGAGTCCCTGTGAGCAGAAGGTATATATTTTCTGGAACTACAAGATATAGACCCCTTGCACTAAACCCAGTCAAAATGATGAACAATATTAACATCAAAAATGAATGGAAATAATTATTTTGTTTTGACCCCAGATTGGGAATTAGCTAGTGCAAGGCAATCTATACCTTTTCATCCATTGAAAAATTCCAAACCCTATATATATATTCCAGGGCAGGCGTGGATATTTTTTGGAACTACACAATATAAGCAAAGGCTTTGTACACTATCAGTAGTATTCTGATATTCAGAGACAAATATTTAGATTTTTTGTAATTATATATTATACTCAATCCCAAGTCTCAGATATTTTTCCAGCTTTTTTCTGCATTTCATTATTATAATAATTATTACATTTCCTTGTTCAGGGTCCAGTTGTACTGAGGGTATCGTGACCCCTTGGACAATCAGTGTCAGAATTATAATTATAGTGTGGAGTAGTTGGTTATAATAGCAAATTTTCAGGCACTCCTGGACAGGAAAAGGTGGAGGGGGGAGGNAGGGGGGGGGGTGGGGTGGAATAGTTGGCTTTACAAACCTTCTATATTGGTTTCCATCCCATTGGTGGTTGTATTAGAGAAGTTTAGCTGTAAATGACAATAGACATGGATGCAACATCTCAACAGACCTCTCTAATATGAACACTTTTCTAATGTGCATACTTGACTCTGTCCCATTGGTGGCTGTTTTATAGATGTTTGGTTGTAAATGACAATAGACATGGATGCTTTTTTGGCTGACGTAACTAATATATTAAAGATAGGTCTTGTCAAAATGATTGAATTTTTGGTTTTCATGGCCACCATCTTGATTGAATTTGACTAAAGATTCATCATTTCAATCTCTTTTGTAAAATCAACCAACATTGGCATCCATGTCTTCTGTGATTTCATTTTCATGTGAAATGACTGAAGACAAGCAACAGGTCTTTTTGATAAGTTTTGATTGTGGTCTATATAAGGCATGATGAACAAAAGGTGTTCAATGTTTGTTTGTACCCAAGCTAGACCACAATGCATCATGTTCTATATCAGAAAAGGTCTCTATGACAGGCATTGCTGAGTTTCATATCGTGGAAGGACAGGGTCCAAACCAGACAAGAGTGAAAATGATGTCATATATATATCTCCATTTCCCAGTAATTTTTGTTCATTCAGTCAAAATCGGGCTGCATTTGTCAAGTTCAATGGTATTATACATCTAGATATACTAAAATGTYCAATTTATCCAGCCTGATCAACAGTTTCCAGGGCTGCACAGTTGTTTCACTCGATATGAAACCCACCAATGTCAATGTTGAGGAAAAAACTGGCTCAAGTTGGAATAGACCTATCCCGAATTCGCTTGACTGGTCACGAAACAATAGTTTCAAGTTGAGGTTGAACTTGATGAATAAAAGAATCAAGTTCAACCTCGACTTCAAACCAATGTTTCGTGGTCAGTCAAGCGAATTTGGTGTAGGTTTATTGCTTTCATTGTGGTACTCTTTAGGGGACATTTTTTTGAGATGGCGTCCATTTTGTCCCCTAATACAGTCCCACAATGCATTGCAATGCCAACTCGACCCAGTATTTTCCTCGACCTTGCTAATAAATTGTTCTAGTTCCATACTTACCCTTTAGAGATTATATGAACAAAATTAGAGCAGTTATATTTTTAAAACACTGTACATAACTACAATAATTTACTATTTCTAACATGATTTTATATATACATTCTTACCTTCTAACTAACTATACATATATTTCTTTATGCATATATAAATGCGCAATTAAATTCCGACCTATTTTAAGAAACTTGTTGATTTGATATCGTCACACAACGTCCTTAGGGTCGTAACGCAAGTGCATGAAGCGTTGCGTGACGACCCAAAGGTACACGGTACAGATGTAACGGTGGTGTGCCCGAGCATTTTCATTGGATGAACTGTGACCTGCATGGAGCGCTGTAATTGGTTACATGAACGGATTCCATGGTTTCTGTACGTGGTGTGCCATGTGCAGTGCCATGCCCAGCTGGGCGCTGAACGCGGCGCGCAAAGCATGAGTGGACAAAATTACCGGCCCTAAGCATTTGTGGAGCTTGAAAAAATCAAGCAAACATACCAGTAAAGTGAAATTGTTTTCATTCTTCCTCTCCATATTTCTGCTTCTTGTATATTATATTCATAATATTTTAGTCAAAAGAAAGGAAAACAGAAAGATACGCAAAACTTGGGTTACAGTATCCTGCCGAAAACGATCGAATTTTGGTGGAAATTGTACGCCATAACTCCGGGGACGTCTCGGTTCGGTCACATGTCAGTTGATTTCATCTCATTTCAGACTGAGGTTTTCATTCCGTTTTTTCTCCCTCCGCAAAATCCAACACGCTAATACCAATTCGGTCTATGATTTTACCCCGACATGAATCGGCCTGGAGTTTCAAGAGCTGCAGATGTGATCTATGGGGTCCACTATTCTTCGATTGCACGATACGTCATCGCGGCCATGATGGTGCCATTTAACAAAAGATTTCCTATTAGCATCCATTGTTAATGGATGCTAATAGGAATGGCCGGAATGGCACAATGGCCGCAATGCTTTTGTGTAAAACTCTCTTGGGAATGCTTGCAATCCATCAATAGCCTCTCCCCTGATGTCTTCGCGCTGAACATTAGTTTCCATAAGGGCATGTCATGGATGAAGCCCATATGGCTCCTCATTTTCTATCAAATAAACCTTTATTTATTTTATTCAAGTGTCTGGGGCCTGTTGTACAAAGGTTGGATAGTGCTATCCGACGGATAAATCCCATCCAGTGGATAAATTTCTTGCATAACAGCATCTATTTATCCACTGGCTTTTTCTAGCGCTTTCTTCCACTCATACACACTACTGCTATATTCAATGTCCTATACGCTCGACACTCCACTCACATGATTTTTCTATGGATGTCTTTGGGGCGTGACGTCGTTCTGGCACTACAGTATAAGGGATTTCTCTTGGTAAACGTAGTTTCAAATCCCGATAATACACGATTTAATAACTGTAGGTAAGCACACACACATGTTTACCTGAGGCATTCCCTTCTATCAAGATGGAATAACGGATTTCAAGATATTTTCCTTATATCTTTTATTGCACTAATAGAATCCTAACTAAATTTTAATAATATTAATAGCATAATAATAATAATAATAATATTGATGAGGAATTAAACCTATACTTCTAATCTGGACCTATAGTTGTTTTTTTAAAGCCTTGGTTATTGCTTGGGGTCCCCTAATTTCTTACTCGGCCGCCATGTTGGGCGATCTAGTCAAGGGCAGATCCAGGATTTTCCCTATGTGGTGAAGGGAGTGGGGTTTGGGGTTAAACTGGCGAACCGAACCCCCCCCCCCCCCCCCCAAAATCCCAACAAAATCCCTAAATGACAACTACGAATCCCCTATCCCTTGATTTTATCGATCCATTAGGGGTTTCGGACGAACCCCTTCCTAGTCTCTTGAAGAAGTCATCGAKCATGGTGGAGACGATGTCACACAACCCACTAACAACCCATAGGATGCGAGCATTTTCACGACTCATGGCCGCCATGTTGGTTCAATTAAGAGAATCTCACGACAAATCTTCAATTTCATCGAACATGACGGCTATGACATGACGTCATCTTTATGCACTCGAGCTCCAATAAAAATTGACTGAAACATGTTTGTAAAGTATTCACAATGCAACTGCGCTTAATTCTTTTGAGATATTCGAGTTCTCTCGCTCCTCGATCCGCGCGCGATATAATCTCTGTTTAATTAAGCCAATTGCAAAACCAGGGCCCAGTTGTACGAAGTATGGATAGCGCTATCAGGCGGATAAATCCTTATCCAGTGGATAAGTCGATGCTGATATCCAATTAATTTATCCACTGGATAAGATTTATCCGTTGGATAGCGCTATCCATGCTTCGTACGACCGGGCCCAGCAGTGTAGCATTTTTCGTCATATACTACGTGACGCATTGCGTGACACATTACGTGACACAATGCGTAACACATTGCGTAAAACATTGCGTGACACATTGCGTAAATTCGTTTGGCTTTGTGGTCTCGGTAGCGTATAATACATCACAATATGCGATGCATGTTTCATCAGTTGTTCTGTAGCCTCGTATAAAAGTCTTATACGTTTAAGTTCGACTCCGCCATAATGAAACAAATTTCGTCATCGTTGGAGCCCTTCGCGTAGGAAGTGTAGTGTCCCTACGAAGAAAGCAGACCAGACCATCAGGATATACCTGCATGATGATGCGATATGATGATGATGATGGTGCTGCTGCTGATACTGATAATTATAGCGCTGAAGATGATGACGATGATGGTTATGATGATGATGATGATCAGTATGATGCTGATGATGATGGTAAGGTGGTACGTGAAGATGATTATGGTGGTGTTGATGATAATAATAAAGTGATGATGATGCTGATAGTGCTGATGACGAAATGGTGGTGATAATGATGGCGATTACAATCATACCTTAGGAATATACTTTGGTAGCTTGAAGGTTTCGTAGATTCGCATTTTTTGCCCTAGAATAAAAAAGCAAAAAAATCTATTCACTTACTCTTTAGTTCACTCTGACCCTTTCAAGACACAAGCATCTAAAATATAAAATATAAAATCTGAGACCCGAGTAGCACGCTGCAAATCGTAATATATTCACAGCCGAACAACGTAGATTATGAAGCATGACCTTTCAGTTACAAATGTGAATTTTCGTTTTTAGGTAGTAAACATAAAAGTACAAAAATGTCATATCTTTGACCAACAACGTTTTTTAAAATAGGTATAATTAATGTCTGGCGCTTCAACTTTTGACTTACCTTTTTTCATAGGGCATTTAAAAGTATCTACTTTAGCTTTACATAAATCATACTTCTGGTCAAATAAAGTTCGTCCATGATATTGTGCGGTGATATGCACTGTGCCTTTGGAAAGAGAAACCGCTAGAAAGAGAAACAAACAAAAAATCCAGACTTAAAATTTAAATGATTAAATCATAAAACGCAACACCAAACAACCTGCTGCCTCTAGGGTCGCGGCTGTGTTGTCGAGGGTGACATTATAGGGACCATAAGGTGCAGCAGCACGGACGACGGCGACGACTGCAAGCATTCAGTAGCACTAATTGTGATATTTAATAGACACTTGTTGGAATGTACGAAATACTGTGCATCATTGCCGTCTTATGCTGAAAGTAAGACGTGAAATGTCCTATTTTTATGTCCTAAAGAGAACGGCTACGCCAAAAGCATCTTTGCTGATTTTCGTTTTAAGCAAATGCAAAGTGCTCCTAAAAGAAGTCATTTCACTCTAAAACTGGGGTGCTTATTAGTGAGTAAATACTAGACCAATATGAAATAATGATATAATCAGGACCAATATGAAATAATGATATAATCAGGAGGTTGAAGCGCGGGGCCGTCCTGCAGCGTAAGGTCCCTTTTAAATCAGGGTGGGAAGCAGAAGGAGAGAATCTCGCCTCCGCTTCTGATTAAATGGATGGACAGCGGGTGGTGTGCGCTGCAGATGTACTGCCTCTCACTGCAGCTAGCATGCGCACGTTGTGTCATCTGCTCATTGCATGGATCCTCAACCATATTAAGCAGAGTTGCTTGTTCGTAGTTTTGCGTGGTGCAGATGGAGACGACATATATAGAGCGAATTGTAAAGCTGCTGTTACACTAGGAAATGTTCCTCGTAACTTGTCTCGCACTTTTGTCTGACTCTTTAGTTTGTGTAGTTAGATGCGACACTCAACTTGTTAGACATGGTTCAAAGTAAAACGCGCACCGTAGTCTTACCCAAATTGTCTTGCAAGTTGAGTGTCACATCTAACTACACAAACTAAAGAGTCAGGTTGACCAGAAGGACTCTCCTTTGGTGTGGCTGTCATGCAGTTGGACTGATTCCTTAATATTCGGCCACTGTCCTTACTTAGGTCTATACCTTCCAGTTCAACCCGAACTACAACCTTCATAGCCTTGTTCACAACTAAGAACAATATTGAATGCACAGAAATAGTTTAAAATGGCTAGTTCTTATATAACCATGTAATCTTATCTGAGATTCTGTTTACATCACGTTTCTGAAACGTGATAGAAATAGAATCTCATATTCCTCTTGATTTTACTCTGTAAAGGCCTATGCTTAGGAAATAGCGGCATCAACCTTACCATTAAAGTTAATTTTCAGACGGAGAAAAACATGATGCTGACTGAGATCAGTCAGGAATTAAGGGTCGATATACTCACGCATGGTGAAATTGGTTGCTATGGTTGCTATCACTGTACCAAGTTTCTTGTCGAAATGGATCAGCACTTTTCCTATTTTCACTCGAGGCGACTCAGGCTCTAGAAATATCAACAATGAACAGAACGAATAAATATTAAATAACCGGAATTCTATAAACCAGAACTTTCAATTTTAACAAACCTAACTAATGAATGGATGAATGGACGAATAAGAAGTATGACGACGGAACAAATGAAAGGAAGGAAGGAAGGAAGGAAGGAAGGAAGGAAGGAAGGAAGGAAGGAAGG